ACACACACACACACACACACACACACACACACACACACACACACACACCTAAATACTTGCTTGCTTGAATCCAGCCCTTAGGTCACCTGTTTGCATGCATGCAGCAAGAAGGCTCAGAGGAAAGGTGATTTGACACTCTGTGGTGTAGTGTGACACCGTGGTAGTTGGCAACGTCACCACACTGAAATGTTCTCTCTGCTTCGATGACAATGGCAGGCCTGGGAACCGGGTATGGCCGATACGAGAGAGAGAGAGAGAAGCACATGAGGTAAGGCGACTTGTTTCATAGAGAACATACCGGAGGGGAGAGACGCCAGGAACAAACAGGAAATGGATTAAGGGGAGGAGAGGGAGTTTTGAGGTGTGAGAATGCAGACGCCACGAGCAGGTCGGTAACTGGAGCCCCATGTGAAGCCTCAAGGATACACCGAGTCATCACGAAGCAACTACAATGCACTCACGTTCCCCCAAACACACACACACACACACACCTTCCTCTCCGTCTGTTAAACTTCTCACAGAGGTTTTGTGGCCATGGAACGAGCTGCGACTCGCTGCCGGAGACGGTTAGGTCGAGAGTGACAGCCTAACACCCCCTCCCCTCCCCCAGAGGGTCTGCAGTATAAACACTCACACAGGCCCCCCCCCCCCCCCCCCCATCATGTACAGGGTCCACACCGACATTCCTCTACTAATATGTAGAAATTATATACAATACATCTAATGTGTTTAGGACTATTAAATCAAGTTCAGAGATGGTTTTGTGGTCATCTTCTGCATGTTTCTCCTGAGTCGTTACGTCTACGCTGCTCTGTACTCTGGTTAAACAGGATCTAACCCGTCCAGCCGTGTATGTGAGATGAATCAACAGCGCAGCATTGAAAGGATTACTCCTCTGGCAGTAACTTAACATAATGAATCACTATGAAACCGCTGAGGCTAATTCATAGTGGCTTTGTCTCGCAACGCACGACAACTGGAAACAGATGTTTTAATGAAGACATCACAAAACACTAGCACCCGCCGCGCACTAACAGATTCAAGCTGGACAACAAGTGATGAAGACTCTCGTTCGTGTTGCATTTGATGCAGAGAAATTAAATCAATCTGGTTTAATTGCAGAGATTGAATCCTGTTGGAAGTGACGGATCACCTGGTGACGGTTGCTGCAGTTTAACGTCGTTTTGACCACATGGGGGTCCGTAAGTCTGATATTCGATCTCCTTTTAGCTCCGTTTTTGGTCTCCACCAACTCCAGAGTGCCCAAAAACAAAAGGTCACAAGGCTGCAAAGAAAGACAATTAAATCTCTTCAAATCCATCATTGGATCTATTTAGGTTTTTAGCTAAATAATAAATACTAATAAGAATATTTAAGAAGGAACAATCTATTGTCTTATATTTATATTTGGTAATTTAAAAAACAAACTCAGGTATTTCATCAACCGAAATGTAAAATATTCACAAGATTATGACCGATATACAAAGAAACACAGACACGTTTAACTCAGTGAAATAATTTAGTGGGACAAACAATTCACATTTACATAAATTAACTTGTGTTGTCATGTTATTTTAGCCCTTCCACAGCAGCCCAGAAACACCCACACACCCTCTTCAATAAGGCATGGTGTGCTTTATATGCAGCATTATCATTTATGCGTGCATGATTTTTATTTAGAGAATTATAACTAGCCAATCGGAGAGACAACACTGCTTAGTTGCCGGGCAAATCACAAGTCTACACAACGAAAAAAAACAAAAAAAAGAGACATTTCTGGAGAGTTCCCAGGCTGTCATTAAGTCTTTATGGAGTGTGTGTGTGTGTGTGTGTGTGTGTGTGTGTGTGTGTGTGTGTTAGATCGTCTTCTCACACCTGTATGCTTAGCCCCCCTCCCCCGAGGCTGCAGGGGGGAGGGAAGAGGAGGAGGACGGGGGCATCCATCAGCCCAGCTCAGAGTGCTCTGTCTGGGCTCGCTGTGACGGCCGGAGGCCCCCGGCACGGAGCTCCCCAAAACACTCTTCATTTAATCTTCCCCGATGCCTCCATCGCTCCTCTTGTCAGTGTCTGTGACGGAGGATTAACTGTTCCCCCCCTCCTCTTAAACGTTGCCTGCTCTTGTGAGAGAGAGAGAGAAGGAAGGAATGGAAGAAAGAGTAGATGTGAACTTTGTTTCCATCTTATTGCTCGTGTGTATCTCAACTACATCCTTCAGGGTTGAACAAGAAATTGGGGCCAGCAGTGTCGGTGAGGAAGAGCCAAAAACAGAAAGCCAAAAAACGCCTCCATCAACAAAAAAAAAAAGGAGCCATTGTTCTCTAGTCCCCTGTGCAAATGGAGCTCGACTTACTTGGCTCTCTCCCAACGGCCCTTTTTTAAAAAAGAAAAGAGGTAAAAGGTGCATTTCCTTCGAGTGTGCAAGCTGGTGCGTCTCTCTCTCTCCCCCCCACGAGAGAGAGAGGAGTAGATGGACGGATGACGGAGGAGAGAGGTCAGTTGAAGAGGATGGAGTCGGGGTCTCTGTTGGCAATGTGCGCCATGTGTTTAAGGATGTCTTTTTTTGTGATGATTCCCAGCAGCCTCCTGGTCTCACACACACACACACACACACACACACACAGAGAGAGAGAGAACACATGTCATGGAAAAGATTATTACTTCACATCGTACGGTGTGAGGTCTCCTCACAAACACGTTAAAGATTTGACAGAAAGCAGAGAGTGGAGGTCTGGCCTCCGAGTCTTGACGTCGTGGTTTCGGTTTTATTTCGGTCTCTGGGGATCACAGTAACGCCACGGTAACACGGAGTAAACAGATCAGGAGGGTTGCTGGTCTACCGGCTCCTCACTATCCACAGCTCACAATGATGACTAACCGAGTATCTTTCTCAGAATTCGCCGCCCAAATGTCTCGCTGGGATCATCCAAATATCTCCCAAAAACATCAAAACACAATTTATTCCATTCAGACATTCAAGCTGAAAAATGTTAGTTTGACCAGCGTCACACACCGACTTCAGAGACGTCAAGGCTGAGGGGTGTTTTTGTGGTTTCTTTATTTTCTCCTTGTTTTCCAGAATAAAATGTAGCTGAATCTAAGCTGACAAAGGAAAACAGACTCTAGATATGCTGCCGATGTGTCGGCCTTGACCTGAAGATGTAAAAACCACATTCAGAGGTATGAAACCAACAGCATCCACGGCCTCAAGGTCTTTCTTTTGTTTTTTTTGCCGAGTGTGTCATCTCCATTCCCAGACGATGAGTGAGAAACTTTCTCTGAGAGCTCACGTGAAAACAGATCCGTCCTCGACTCCTGCTTCCTGCTCCCCTGAAGCCACAGCTTTCCCCTCCTAAACTAAACGTGCACCCACTCTGCTTTTCTGTTGCCAACAAGCAAATCTGTCCTGAAGAAGTCAGCAGCCTCTCAGCAGCGGTATGCGCTGTCAGCAGGGCTCTCGGGCGGAGAGCGGACCTCAACTTGCTGCTTGGCAATCGGATGTTCTGGCACAGCAGCTAAACGCCTGAGAAGTCAAACGCGCAGAGAGGTGAGCTCGAGGGAACTTCTGAGGCTTCACGTCGATTCGGTTTGAATTATAGCCGATTAAGGCTGAGCACGCTCTGGAAGAGCTGACAGCAGATGTGCTCTTAACCCCTTGTTTGACACTTTAGTTTATACATCGCTACCAAATCTCTCTGCAACCGCTTCATCTACACGCATGTTTAGTCTGAAGACAGATCTGGAATCTTCTCCGATGCTGGAAGACGAGGAACAGAAAGTGACAAAGAGAAACCGCAAGAGCCGCCGTTACACTCGTGTGGAAGCATGCGTGTGAAAATATACACAAAGCTTAGCTCCTAAACCAAAGAGAGCTGTGTGTTTGAAGAGACATCTCAACAAACGAAGCGCGACTCTGTGCGTGAGAGAATATGTTTGAGGTTTCCAAAGAGTAAACGCAGCATCGTTGGTCTATAAAAGCACGCAGCTCTATTTCCTGTTTGTAAATCAGAACCATTTACGCCGACATCGGCAGCAATTTGAAGGTTTCTAAATGTTCTCTGTGGTTTAAACTGCTGGTTGGTCAAAATAAGACATCGACAACATTGCGGACAAAACGATGACGTGGTGGACAAACGTATCGAGCAGAAACGGTTCCTAAAATCTATGAGTAGCCTCGACACACAAGTCTGTAAAGCTGTCCGAGCCTCTCAATGCACCAGAAGAAACACACACGTCCCTGTTTTACCGTTCCTCTGGCTTCCTTTCCCTTGTAATAGACGCTCACAGGGGAGGGCGGGGCTTAGCAGAAGCATGAACATGCACTCGTCCTCTACTCACCCCCCCCAAATAACAGCCCGTAAATCATTGCTTCGAAGTGGCCGGTTCGACTCTGAAGACCCAATTTAACGAGCTGCCTGAGACGTGAAATACAGATGTTCTCCTTTGTCAGTGGACGTTACAGACACACAAAAAATGTCTTCTGTGAAGTTGGTTGTGAGGAGATTTTGGGTAAACACACCTGAAGAGTTTTCTGTGTTATCTCTCACTGCCCCCCCCCCCCCCCATTAGCTTTCTACGTATTCCTCCCTAACCACTTTAATGCACGAGCTGACAGCCGAGCGACCCGGGACGCTCCCACACACCCATCTGTCACGTCTCGCTTTAATGTCTACAAGCATGGGAGAGTGGTCGGTTTGTGTGCGTGTGTGTGTTCTCACCCGTTGTGCGTCACCAGACACTGACGGAGCCCCAGCTTCCTGAAGATGTCCACGGTGATGTCCATGGGCGTGTGGTCCGACACCGTGAAGGGGCTCAGGTCCATGATGCCTCGGAGGCGGAGGTGCGGCGGGGCGTCGTCGGCCTGAGCCGGAGCGTGCTCGGTGAGGACCACCTGGGACGCGCTGACCACGCCCTCCTGACGCTTCCGGGCGTTGTCTGAGAGGAGAGGAGGTCGTCACGACGTAATCTATACATCAAACATGTTTAAAGTGTTTATTTCTGACCTACAGTGAAGGACAGCAGCTTTATTTCTGACCTATTGATATGAGCAGGTCTCTTCTGAGTACAAATCCCACCAGCCTCTGGGACACCTGGGAGACGACCACAGGGAAGCCGCTGAAGTGAGTGCTTTCCACCAGAGCCTGAGGACCAAACACAACAGTTCACACCGTGCTTTCCGTATACAGCGGCGTGTTTCTCTCGTTAACGGTGAGGCCGTTACCTCCACCTCCCCGACCGTCATGCCCTCCTGTGTGAGCACAGCCAGAGCCGGGTCCGACCTCCTGGGCCGCATCACGTCCACCGTCAGGCTGCTGTGGTCGAACTCCTCTTTGGGCTCCAGGAACGGGTATCCGTTCAGCCGGATGTGAGCCTGAGGAGTGGACAACAGACTTATAAAATACAGATTCTTCCTCTTACCTGTAGAGCTATTTATCAGATACATATTTATATAATGGGACGCGATGCAGACAGTTTTATAAAGGAACCATTTCCTCTCAACCATAGTTCACACATGAACACGGTCTGTGGAGTATTTTGAGTAACCGGGTCAGGATTTCTGGAGTTTTTCTAATATATATATAAATAATTTTTTTGGCACTTATATATAGCCCATTATAACGGAGAGAAACCAGACATTTGTGCGGCTGACATCTCCAAAACTAGGCAACAGATAAGAGGAAAGAAAGATGTGGTTTTCATTTTGGGGTGAACTGTCTCTTTTAAAAACCGTGACTTCCTAAATCTGAAGCACATTACAGCGCCACACACACACACACACACACACCTCATAGATTCCCTCTCTTCCGAACGCATCTGCCACCCACTTGCTGGTCATGGTGGCGGCCATGAGGGGGACGATGTACTCGAGGCCGCCGGTCAGCTCAAACATGATGACCACCAGCGACACCGTCATGCGAGTCACTCCGCCTGGAAGAGAGAGACGGGACGAGAGAGAGACAAGATGAGACAGAGACAGAGAGAGAGAGAGAAGCGGGACAAGAGAGAGAGACGAGAAAGAGAGAGAGAGGCGGGACGAGAGAAAGACAAGACGAGACAGAGACAGAGAGAGAAGCGGGACGAGAGAGAGAGACGAGAAAGAGAGAGAGAGGCGGGACGAGGGAGAGAAAGAGATGTGGGACGAGAGAGAGGGACGAAAAAGAGAGAAGCGGGACGAGAGAGAGGGACGAGAAAGAGAGAGAGAGAGGCGGGACGAGAGAGGGAGACGGGACGAAAGAGAGAAGCGGGACAAGAGAGTGAGAGAGAAAAGCGGGACGAGAGAGGGACAGAAGACAGGGACGAGAGAGGGACAGAAGACAGGGACGAGAGAGGCGGGGCGAGAGAGAGAGACGGGACGAGAAAGAGAGAGAGAAGCGGGACGAGAGAGAGAAAGAGAGAAGCGGGACGAGAGAGAGAGGGAGAAGCGGGACGAGCGAGAGAGAGAGAGAAGCGGGACGAGAGAGAGAGAGAGAGAGAGAAGCGGGACGAGAGAGAGAGAGAGAGAGAGAGAAGCGGGACGAGAGAGAGAGAAGCGGGACGAGAAAGAGAGACAGAGAGAGAGAGAGACAGAGAGAGAGAGAGACAGAGAGAGAGAGAGACAGAGAGAGACAGAGAGAGAGAGAGAGACAGAGAGAGAGAGACAGAGAGAGAGAGAGACACAGAGAGAGAGAGATTAATTATCTAACATTAATCATCGTGTCTACGCTCGTCATTTACGCCGTTATCTGAAGTTAGGAGTGTTTTCTGAAGGTGGCTCCATTGTTCGAGGAAAAGTAAAGATAAGAATGTGAAACTGTTCCTGCATGAGGTCCAATGTGTGAGTCACCTGAACTTTACATGAGCGTCAGCATGACTGCAGCATAATAAGGGAGCAGAGGGCTGGGAGAGGGAGACGGTTCCTGTTGAGAATGAGAAGAAGTCCTCCGAGAGTTCGTCTGACCACATAAACGCACACGTCTTTATCTTCCCCTCGTCCTCACATGGAAATGTTGAAGCTCGTGTGGTGAATTCATTATCATCATCATCATCAACTCGCTCGGTTGCGGACAGAAAACCACGACCACACTCTAAAGTCGATGCTCCTCTGTGGCCTCAAGTCAAACAGTGTCAATGTGACTGTTGGGAGAGTTTTCTCTGGTTCGTTAAAAAGAATAAAAGCAAAAATGGAATTGTTCCCCGATGAGGATTGTTCATAAGTTCATAAGGGAGAACTCTGGTCTGGCATGTTGTGCTGTTTAATTTAACTGCAGCTTTTGTGTTTTTTGGCCAAACTGTCGCTTCTTTTCTCAAACATTTTTATTAAACTATTAAAAATGTGTCAGAATTTGTGACATTTTGTTTATTTCAGTCTATAAAAACCAATTTAAGACATTTAAGACCTTCTGGGTTTGAAAACCACCGTCTCCCTCAGTCTGTCCATCAAACACCACTAAGCTGCTCTCTGGACATCCCACGATAAGAATCGCCTCTTTGACCGTGTGATCTTATTATTTCCCCGGTCTCTCACCTAAACACGCGGCAGCGCCCACCATGGCGTAGAGCCCCGGGGTGATGCAGTCGGCTCCCGGTGAGCACCACTTTTTGAAGATGAAGGAGTCGTGGTTGTAGTAGGCCAGCTGCTCCATGCCGACGCCCAGCAGCCGGCCGGCGATGGCTCCCACCGCCATGCTGGGGATGAAGAGCCCGGAGGGAACCTGGGAGGGAGAAGAGGAGGAGGAGGAAGCAGCGAGGCGTTGTAAAATACTCGTCTATGATGAGATATAAGTGTGTGTGTGTGTGTGTGTGTGTGTGTGTGTGGACCGACCTTCATGCCGAATGTAATCACAGTGATCATCATCTTGAAGATTAAAGCCAGGGCGAGCTGCCACAGAGCCGTGTACAGACCTTCACCCGCCGGCCGGTCCGCCAGGCTGTTACCTACAGCGGCTTCTGTTGTGATGTTTGGCTGAGAGGGACGACACAGAGGGAGAGAGAGAAAAAAAAAAAAAAATGCAGTTTGACGTTACTTAACAGGGCAAATAAAGATCAATCCAAATCTCTATTTTCATTTTGAGGACAAATGATGACAATGATGTCACAAATATGACAAATGAACACAACCTCTGTACACAAACAAGCTCTCTCTCTGTGTCCGTCCCTCTCTCTCTCTCTCCCTCCCTCCCTCTCCCTCCCTCTCTCTCTCTCCGTCCGTCTCCCTCTCCCTCTCTCTCAGCTGACCTGTTTGTAGCCACAGAGCTGTGAGGAGTCGAGCAGCGAGCAGTCGTTGAAGAGCTCTGCGATGAGCTCTGCGCCGCTCATCCTGGTGTAGCTGTTCGGGTAGGCGACCACGCCGGTCAGAGCCGTGACCACCAGCACCTCCATGACGGGGTAGTGACCCAGACGAGTGGTTTTACCTTTTAAAAAGAAGACACGGAAAACGGATCAATAAGAAGAGAAAAAGGCTTTTCGTTTGCACACATTGGGAATAAGCTCCCAGACTCACGTAGCCTGCACCAGGCGATGTTGGCCCTGATGAACAGCGCCCCCCACAGGCCTCCGAATATGCCCAGCAGGATGAAGGGGGCCAGCTCCACCAGGTGCCACGGGGCGTGGAACTCCACGTAGAACAGCACCAGGCGGCTGTTCCCGAACGGGTTGATGGCGCGCAGAGTGAAGGCCGCGACCAGGGCGGCGAAGAACGAGCGCCACAGGGTCTTCAGGGGGAAGTAGTAACTCACCTGAAGGCAGAAAAAGTCTTATTTCTTTTCTATTTACGTAGGGCTGCACAGTTAAATGTGCACCACTGAGGTGCCAAATATGCAATGAAATAACAATTTGTATCACTGACTCTGGATGATCCATCACTCCACTCTTAAATAAATCAACATGTGATTGATTTCTGATGTGTTTGGGCTGCTCTGCTGAAGATGGATGAGACACATTTATTTCCCAAACCATCAACACCTGTTAGCGGTTCATCACGTCCCAGTTAGGGCGCCAGGGAAGTGCAGGTTTTAGAACATCCATCACATCTTCAAGTAAGACTGAACAAGTCGTGGAAAACAATGTATTTAGTTGTGTTGGCTGGTGCTGATGAGATGACTTTGATCCTGAGATTCACTGGCTCTTAGCTTCAGGTGTGTGTTGTATGACGGTGGTGTGTTTCAGCTCCTCAGACGGTCCTCTGATGTCTGGGATCTCAGCACCAGTCTAAACAACTGGTTAAAGGAGACAACGAGCACTTGTTCTCACCTCCTCCAGGCTGAACAGGACTCCTCCAATGGGAGCGCCGAACGCCACGGACACGCCCACTGCCGCCGCCGCCGACAACACCTGCAAGCCAGAAAACAAAAATAATACACACACACACACACAGGTATCATAACAGCTATCAATCAAAAGAACACTGCATCTTCATTGTTGTTGGAATAAAATGTTCTTGGTGCGATCGGTTTACTGACCTCGATGAAGGACAAATCCAAACAGAGTTCACTGAAGCCGTGAGTTTAATGTGGTGTTAGGAATACGTAAAGACGACATAAGGATCGACGATTATCTCTTTGCTTCTGTTTTTCGAGGATTTCAGAAAATATATTCAAAGATTATTGAATCTTGTAGTTCTCTGTTCCCCTTCTGCATCCTGGGGTCCCTGAGGAGTCTTGGATTTGCATAAATTGGGTATAACTGGAGAGCTGAGGCTCTAGTGATACCAAATCACAGAAAGGATTATTCTACGGTGTTTTTCAAAGTCTTGGTGTCGTCATTTTGGAGAGATTTTGATATTTCTTCATCTATTCTCGAGCGGTTCAAATCCCCTGGTCCCCCTTAAAACTGTCCCAATAAAACAAAGACTCTGATGAAATCCCACCTCTCGCCGCTTGGCCTCATTCTTGCGGTACTTGGTGAACAGGTGACACAGGATGTTGGCGCAGCAGCAGGCCACGTGGACCAGCGGGCCCTCCTTCCCCAAGCTGAGCCCCGAGGACACGGCCAGGACCAGGGTGATGGTCTTGATGATCAGGGTCCACTTCCCCAGGTAGCCCCGGATGATGAACCCACTGAGGATGGTCTTAATCTGAGAGAGAGAGACGGAGAGGAGTGTGAGATGAACAGCGGTGGGGTTTGTGTTCCGGATGTTTTTCTTTGAAACGAGCAGCTGATCTCAAGTTCCATGAGATGAGGGACGAGCTCTGTCTGAGAGGAGTGAAGGAGAGTTTATATGAGCAGGAAAGAGTCACGTTTGTGTGTTTTGTTCTGTGTACATGAATCAGTTTGGTTTAGTCTGAGTGGAAGCAAATCTTTGGCTTTTCACTTCCTTGGAAATAAAGAGCGAGAGGAGATGAAGAGAAGGTAAACATGACGGCAGGGAGGACGGAGGGAGACCGGTGCTAGTTTTGTTCTGGTAGTTTTGTTCTGATTTTAAAGTTATGTTATTAGTTCATGAGGCGCTACATCTTTTAATTGTTTTAATTATTATTATTGCTTAATATTTACTCTGATTCTATACAGTGTCTTACGTGTTTGAGTATTTAAACATATTTTATTTAGGTCTTCACCCGAGTACAAAACTATATATTCCTGAAGCTACGCTTGTGGCCATCAATGTAGAAATGAAATCAAAAAACATTGTTGACACAAAGGAAATGATCTTTATGCTGATTAATATGTTGACTGAAGAAGAAATAAGTGACGCTGCAGTCTCACCTCCGGTATTCCTGATCCACATGCGTACGGAGCGAAGGCCCTGACCAGCGTGACGGCCAGCAGAGCGAAGAGTAGAGCCCAGACCATGTACATCAGGTAGTTCACTATGTAGGGAAACGCACCCTGCAGGGACACGCACAGACAAAGGAGGGAAAACAAGTTATATTAGGGAAAAGATAAAAGCTGGATTAGTGGTGTAATCTCATGTCATGACGGTTTATAACCACTAGATGGAACTAAAGCACTATAACAGTAAGAGAGAGACCATGACTGCACATTTCATGGCTCTAAGAGAGCAGAACACACCCCCTCTCCCTCTGGATTAACCCGTCTCTGTACCTCCGACGTCCCCGTGATGAGCTCGGCCCAGCTCTGCCACTGAGGACAGCTGTCCCTGTCCTGGAACGTCGTCTCTTTGGACGTCCAGCAGCAGTGCTCGTGGTTGAACCAGAAGCCGACGAGGCAGATACCCTCCTTCAAGTCCGTCAGCCAGTGGGCCGCGATGTCGATGCCGCCGGCGAGAGCACCTGGAGGAGGAGGAGGAAGGGGTTAGAGGTTAGTTCTGCCTCTGTGCCTTGTGTCTAAACTTAACTTTTTTTGTCTTGCAAACAAAAAAATGTCCCCAGTTTCTCAGATTAAAAAGGACAAGTGTTCAGACCACAGTTCAGTACCTGACATCAGTCCCACCAGAAGCATGAGCAGCCACCCCGAGAAGGCGTCGCTGACGCTGTGCAGCAGAGCCGCAGTGGACTGTCGGCTCTTTTTGGTGATCTGGACGGAGACGGAGAGGAGGAGGTCAATGTTAGTCAGTGATTGACGCAATTCAGTTTAGTTCAGGTTCCTAGGAACAGAGGGAGCTTCTTCTTCTTCTTCTTCTTCTTCCTACCTCTCTGTGGCGGTCGCGGTCCTTGCTCTTCTCCCTCACCCAGTCGATGGTGTTGAAGTCCTCGTAGGTGCCCAGTCCGGCTAGCGGGTCCTCCAGAGGGTCCACAAGTTTACCGGGACCGTTACCGTTCATACCGGCTGCTCTGCTGCTGCTGCTCTCCTCATAGTCTCCTAGAGGGAGGGAGGGAGAAGCACAAATCAACATCGTCAGCCACATTGTTTATAACATTTCTTTCTGTTGTTGTTTTCCCCTCATGTTGTGTTTCTGAGCGACTCAAATCCTCTTATTTAAATATTTGGTTTGTGACTTGTGTGTTTTTCTTGTGGTCAGCTGAGAGCTCCTCCACACAGAGAGAAGAAGAACTCCAGCAGTGTTTCCCACACGGGTACTGAACGTGTGTGTTGATCTGTTGCGTAACGTCTTCTCTAACATCTACAACCTGCAGAACCACAGCCGAGAGCTCAGCTGGAGGGAGCGTTCACTTCGAGAGGAAAACGTCCTGCGGTGTTTATTAAACCACCAAACACAAGAGGTGGAAAGAGGAACACTTCACTTTGAGCCTCAGCGGTGGGCTGAAAACGTAAAGAGTGCTGAGGGACGTTATTAAAGTCAAAATGATTTGAGCATTCATTTCATCTGTCGAGCAAACCCACGATTATTGCTCTGCTGACGATTGTTACCGTGTTAATGAGTGTTGGAGGCAAAGACCCCCAAAGCTACGAGGCTTCAGCTGCACTCGGCTCACAACAACACAGCTTTGAATGCGTGACCGCAACAATTAACCACACAGCAGCCAGCAGCCAATCTGAAGCCAGCTACCCGACAGAAACGGGGAAATGAGGCCGCCGGTGAGCGACCGACAACTGAAACTGAAAAGCAGGGTTTTGGTTTGAGTATTAATAAGACGGCGTACTATGAATGATGGTGGAGACGGTGCTTCTCGTCTGAGTGAGGAAACAGAAGCTTAATGAGCTCGTTACTGACGTGGGATTTACATGCATGGTGGTGAAACACAGTCAGTGATATAAGACATGTGTTCTAAGCATCACTTCATCCTCTGAACTCCACCTCTGGGGTTAGAAAGCATGTTTTCTTTAAACAGTGGTCAGAACTACACCGTTTATCATCACCGGAAGCTGTAAAAAACAAAATTATTGTCAGATATACATCTTTCCCACGGTCCTTGAACACATCATGTGTGACAAACGCTTCCCTGAGAAAAAGAAACCAAATCAAAGCTTAAAATTGTGATATTTCATTAAAATGAAACATTTGATTCTACATGTCTCATTTAAAATAAACTGTTTGCTCCGATTAGATTCTGTTAGACATTAAACTCTGAGCTCCTCTGAAGCCATGATTGACTCATCTGAGACTAACAGTCATGTGACCAACACTTCTGTGGAGCTTCGCCTGAAACGTCTTGTGGTTCAGAGGAACAACATGTCCTCTCGTATTTCAGACGGATCACTAAGTTTTATCCTTTGTTGTTGTGTCAGAGCAATGTTTGAAGGAAGAGAACACAACACAACACAACAACGGCTGTTTGCACATCCAGTTCCTTCACATCTTTATTGTAAAATGTATAAAACTTAATCTTAGCTCCACAAACACATTTAACACGACACAGAGCAGAACACTAAAGGAGCATTTAAACACCTGAGCTGACCAGTTGGTTATGAACAACAATGAGAAGAATGTGTCCGTCCGTCCGTCTCTCTCTGTGTGTGTGTGTGTGTGTGTCTGTGTGTGTCTCTCCGTCTCTCTCTGTCTCAGGAGTCAGCTGAGGGTAACTAAACTTCAAATGGAACTAGATCTTAGTGTTAGGAGGGAAAGCCTCTATGACGACGATGCTTCCGTTTGGTTTAAACCGTTCTGTCTCTCAGCTTGTGTAACAATCTGTTGTCCCGTCTCGCCTCTCTTAAACCAATTAGCCTCGCTGTCCAATGCATGCTGGGATACGCTGACCCGGCACAGGACTGTCTGAGAACCTATAAATCATGCAACAGTATTTATTCTCCTCATATATTTCTACAGCAGCTCCTTTGAATGTCCTAAACATGATGGGGTCCATAGTTAGATGAGTTTATATCTCCCAGCTGGAGAACAAAAATATAAAATAAAGTGATTTTTTCATTCCAGTACTAGTAGTTATTTTTAACAGAGTAGATAACTAACCTAAAGCCATCACACTACTCAGCGTGTTCACTGTTTCTACTTCGGTGGATGTGTCCCATTAAAGTCACAACTGTGACAAACCTTTGCACCTCATTCAGGACAGAGGAGACACAAACCCAGTAAAACCAGAAAGCAATCACACAACACAAAACACACATTTTTGGGGGGGAAAAGGGGATGAATCTGACTCCGGAGCTAAAATATTCACTGCTCGTGAGCGGTCTTGATGGTTAAACTCCACCAGGTTTCAGGCATCAGCAGAAACACAATTTAAAAAAACAAACAGAAGAAGAGTTTGAATCAAAAGGAGACGCAGACTCACAAAGAGGAAGTAAAAGACGTACAACTCGTTACTCAAGAACGACCGGTGTGAGCTATTTTTCTTATCTGACTGCATCTTAGAGAGAGAGAGAGTGTGAGTGTGTGTGTTTGTGCACTTCATCAGCGCTACAAACACAAAGCTTCCACACGAGTCTCAAACTCACCATCTTCAACCAGCACCCCCTCATTCAGCTGCTTGCTCCAGAACTCCCAGTCCATCTCTGGACGCAAACACGACTAAACTTGAGCCAAACTCAAAATAAAGTGGAATGAAAGCCCTCTTCACTCCTCTGAGCTCCTCCAGGAAGTGGAGTCCAGCAGAGCAGCTCCCTCCTTGGTCAGAAGGCTCTGGGGGTGAGTCACGATTGGCTCGTCTGCTGAGCTGTTCTGTGATAGGCCCTGAGTGTTTGAGAGCTCGCTCTGATTGGCTGAGGTTCAAAGTGAGGTCATTAGTGTCCGTGAGGTTGTGACCTCTCGCTGATGTACAGGGCTGTGAGTCAAACACAAGTGACATAAGCAGCATTTAAACACACTAAACTACACTTAAAGACCTTTATTTGAACCACTAACTCTTCTACTTTCTCACATATTTCACATGTTGGACCTGAGCTGAAGTGAACCCACTAATCCTAGCCCTGCTGTGACCTCAGGAGAAGTGTGCTAGTGTACTTCCTCACACACTAGAGTCTGACCTCCATGAGACATACAGCAGTGCTGTGTATTTAAACCTCATTCCTTCAGCAGTGGTGGCTGCTTTTTAAATCATATTTCCTGGGTCAGAGGAAATTGAATAAAAGAAATTAGATTAATTTTCATGTCCACATGATAAAGACTTTTTTTTCCCCACGTGCTGGATATAGAAAATGAGGATATGATGCAACTGTCCTGATGGAGAAACTCCAGAGAGAACTTAGCTCGGATGTTTGAGGAAACGAAGCCCAGAACGTCTCAAACTGGGCTGGGTATCAAAATTAAAGGCCTCTTGTCTTCTACCAGTAGTCTGTGGTTGAACCAGCAGCTCCTAACTGTGTGAACATGAAGAAGAGCATCGCAGTAAAAGGGAGAACATGCAAGCTCAGCAGATCCTTTAGTCCTTGCACGGATGACAGAGGAATTTTTACAACTGCAGAGGCGAAGCCGTGACAGATTGACAGCTGTTGTGAAACACGTCTTTCACAGTGAACTTTACTCTGCAGAAGACGTTGTTGTGAGAGTTTAAGGATCACATCAGGAAAGAGTTGAATGTTAAAGCTGTCTGGTCCTCTCCAAAACTAGACTCACAGCCTCCAGCTTTACGCCTCCGCCAACCAATCACGTTGCATCTTACAGTCATGTCTGTCATCACTTCATCATTCTATCCTATCAGACGTTTTGGGGAAATTGTCACCACATTGTAATCCGATCGACTTTGAGCGTAAGTGGACGTTTGTACCCTTAGCATGAAAAGATGGTTGCCTTTCCATTCAGTCTATTTTATTCGCTCAGCCTCCCTGCTTCCTGTTCCACACAGTCGCCCCATGTGACCTGGTGAAGTAAACACTGTGGTGTTTAAATACCTTCCACACAATCACAGAGTGGACCTGGAGCTGTGACTCACTCCCTGTCAATCATTACATGGTGTGGTAGGTCAGCTCATATAAAGAGCAATAATGATAATCTGCACAGGAAGCCACAGGAACAGATATAAACTAATGAAATACCTGGCAGTAAAAATAAAAGAGCAAAGTAAGCACGAAACATGGACGCATATAGAACATTAAATATCATATGCGAGTGTAGTTTGACTGCTTCATCCTTGAGAAAGGGGAGTTCCCTCTCTCCCTGCTGTGGATCTTGAGGGACTTTTCCCCCCTCCTCCACATTGGAGGAGGTCCAGTTTTAAATATTTTGGTTTCCATGAAGCTTTTTGAGACGCTACAGTTGTTACAGACCATAAAAATCACTTCCATCTCACTCAAACAAAGCCTTGAAAAAGATGTGTTATGACTACTTGTTGCAAAACCCTCCTCAAACATCTCCGTCGCTCACTTTTTATTTTATTTTATTTTGAATCTCCTCGTTTCTGTCTACAAAATAACTCGCAGGCAGCAAAGCACGACGTCTGAGACAAGCAGCGACACACGCTCACCTCCTTCAGAGCGCCGAGAATTTGATGGGAGGAGAGGATCTGTCTTTGGATGGTTCAAACTACAAGGAATGAAAAGTCTAAATGTGTTTTTATTTACACTGCAACAAGGGGCGTTTGGGAGGACTACTGCCTTGCTCAAGGAGGCCTTCCTTGTTGTTGTACCTGGACATTCCACCTATAGGCTCCAGCCCTGTCCTGTAAACACAGGAGGCTAATGAGTCCCTGAGTAGCAGGTTACACGAGGCTAAGCGCTGACGACAGACGCACTGAGAACGGCTTTTAAGAGGACGAGGTCCAAGTGCTAATGAGCAGCGAGGGAACTAGACAGACTCAAGAAGGAAAGGAAAGGAGGGAAGTGCGAGTAGGAATAATGAAAAGCTGTAGGAACAGACTGAACCAGCACCAGGCCAAGAAGAACATGCTCTTCTTCTGTCTGCTGTTTTTAAGGAATCAGAAACACTTTGAGGAGACTTGAAGTCAGATTTAAACTTCTCCAGAGCACAAAACCACCATAAAACCTGCAGCAGGTTAATAAAGTGCTGCAGGGATGACGTGAAATCAAAACTAACTTCCATGTTTTCGGACTTATTCCTGCAGCACTATCAGTGAGTCACCAATAACCTCTCCTGGAGCTGCAGACTTCCAAAACAAAAGAGCTAAAAACCTCTGTTCTCAACCCCAAAAACACTAATTTCCAAACTATCTTTGTCTCTCTTGTATACATGCTGACACATCCCGAGACATTTCTCTGGGATTAGCTGACTGGAAGCCTCCTCCACTGGGAGTTCACTGACGTCAATCGTTAACGTGGGAAACTCTTCTCTGTACGGTAAAAGTTATAATAACACTGCAACACTTAAAGGAGAAGTCAGTGACATCACAAGTAACCAGGTAGGATTGGTGCAACAAAAACAAACACTACGAGCTCTATAACTCACTTTAATGGCTGTTTTTGTGTTCTGATGGAGAGTCAAACCAAAACACATTTAATCAAGTGAGTGTGTGTGTGTGTGTGTGTGTGTGTGTGTGTGTGTGTGTGTGTGTG